ACACCCTATGGATAAGATTTTCTGAGGGGTTTTCTGGCAGCATCTCCTAAAGGGTTAGGAAATACTGGTAAGTTGCCTTTTATTTTGGGGAGGGTGGTGACTTACTTCATCAATTGGAGGGATATGAAATGAGTGAGGGTTAAAATGCAATTGCCCTAAACTTTTCTAAAAAATTGTTAAGTCCACTGAATGAAACTTTCTGTTCATAACATAGCTCAACTGATTAGTTTCTGTAAAGACAAGTCAATGGCAAAATCATTGACGTCGGATTGTTGGACGTAAAATGAAACGACTGCGCATTCCTTCTTTCTGTCATAACAACACAAGATTAGGGACTTATCTGTTACCACAACGGCAGCTCTCCCATTCAACGGGCTTACTCTTTTCCCTTTATGCATGACAGACTTGTAGACTCATTTCTTAAGACAGTTTGTGCCTTTCATCCTAACTGCAAAAACACGTTTTTAGTGGTATTGTTAGAGGATAATGTTAATTTGATTTTACGGGTGGTCATCTTCATGTCACTGCCATACCCAACCACTTAAACGCAGATATGATGAAAAATGGGCCACAGAATGAATAGCGTTATTGGCAACATCAACCCAGTGTTACCCCACCCCAGTGTTAGCCTATCAGACCGTGCTAATTTGTTGTAAATGAGATTCCCCACGCACTCGACCTGGGAATCGACAACGCGACTAACTAGTTCGATTTTATTGAGCATTTGTTCCTCCATATCGCCATTTAAGCCACACATTCCATAATTTGGCTTCCGTTTTACGTTGTGGACCATTTCTAGCCATTGCGGCTGGACTGTCGACTTTAATAAAACAATGAACCGGTTCCAAAAACTATCATCACACTCAGTTTTGCCCTTTGGTCTCTTCCAGATCAAGCTTCTTTTTTCCCACCATTTTTTTTCTGAGACATGAATCTGCTGCCAATTTATGAACCCGTGCAGTTCTAAGAAACAAATCCACTGTCCATTTATGAGCCTGTGCTAATGGGAGGAAATCGCTGGCCCAGTAACCAGCGTGATTGGGTTGACCAAACATCATAACATATGGTGTCAGGGTGTGTAACTGGAGATGATCTTCATTATCTTCTATTTGCTCTTTGTTCTTGTCTTGGATGCTGCAAAAACCATGTTTGTCGTGATCTTCATTATC